TCAACGTCCTTCTCGTAGTGAGGGGCCCAAAACTGAACACAGTATTCGAGGTGCGGCCTCACCAGTGCCGAGTACAGGGACACCATCACTTCCCTACTCCTGCTGGCCACGCTATTGCTGATACAGAGGAACCCCGACGCACTTCTGGAGCTGAGCAAGACTAGCAATCGCAGTGCTAAAAGCTCAGACTCCTCCAGACCCAAGGCTGCAGCTGCCCAGAGATCTTTTAAAGCCAGGCATACTCGATTTCAGCTCTCTAAGGGACAGGTGTTAAGCTGTGGCCAGGAAAACAGTGGTCCCATTAACAGTGATCCTCATCGTCTTTCAGATCAGGCATCAAGAGAGGGGGGAACTTCGTAGGGACCGAGTTCGACAGAGGTGAACTTGGTTTATCGCCACTCCTTCCAGCATCGGTTTAGTTATCGGTGAAAGAAAGGAGGAACTCTGCGAGAGTACCGTAAAGCTGAGATGTTACCAAAGCATCTGCACTGTGTCTGTCAGATGCCCAATCTCCCCTCGAGGAATCGTTCCCTCTCAGGCACACAGGATAGGGCACGCAGAACCGAAGCCATAGAAAACAGACATACATAAGGGTCCTCTGTCTTTCTGCCAGCACGCTCATGTCTCCAATTAAACCATCAAGGATGTTAGCGGGTTGCAGTGAAATTTCACCATCATTGCAAATCTGCAGGGAGAAGATTAATATGAGAAAATGATTTCCAAGCCCAGGAGCCACGTCCTGAGCAGTGCTAGCCAGGTCAGACGAAACCGCAGAAGACAACCCCAAACTCCGCCAAGACTCTTTCTAATTTCAGACCCATGACCGAAACCAGCCTCCTGAAAGCAAAACCAGAAAAGCAAGGGCTGAAAAGAAGAGACAGGTTTCTGCTGCAAAGCTTCACCGAGGAAGGGCAAGGAAGTCCACGCATGACCTCCATCAGGAGATAACCCTGCAAGGAAGAGGAGATTTTCTTCCCAAAAAGTGCCTCACTTGCTTGTAGCATGTGCAAGCCTCAGCTGAAAACAGAAGCACTCGGCACCGGCAGCATCGGCAGCCACAAACCGGCCGGCTGGAGGGATATTGCCCTCCCGAGCGGAGAAGCCCAAGGAGACTCACATGCAGAACAGACGCTGGGAGGCAGAGCTGGGGTTCAAGTCTGGGTAGGCATGGGTAACCCACCCATCGCACCATGCTGCCCTGATCTGCCACCGTCTGTCAGAAGGAAGATGAAGAGCGAAACTTCTGCTCAACGGCTGGATTTCTTCTGCCCGTCCTGGCCACGGGGCGCAGTCCCCACAGCCAGGCCAACGTGCCTGGCAGAAGCATGACGGCTGGGCGGGCAGGTTTTCCACCTGTACCAGCTGCGCGTTCAAGCTTAACAGCTTGTGCATATGCAGCTTAATTGACTGAACTACCTTATAATGCTATTTAAAAAATACGGGCATTTTATATGGAATTTTTAGGCAGCTGGGACCGTTGTACGTTTATAGATCTGTTTATACCGGCACTAACGTGCTACAGCACTTCAGGAGTTGCCCGTTAGGAGTTGTCCATGATTTCAGTTTAACACTTGCGACGTGACCACGCAACCTGATCTGCAAACACTTTAACAGAGTCATGAAAAACACACCACGTAAGAGAGCTGACAAGATTGACTCGAGCAGCTTGGGCTCAGCTCACGTTTCAATCACCAAAAGGCATTAGCTGCTTTCAGCGATACTCGAAGAGCGTTATCCCTCTCACAAAACCGGGATGAAGGTCTTGCTGGCACTGCCCGCAACTGAGCTTAAACAGCACAAGCCCCTTCTGACAGGTACCTCGCAGGAGCCGAGGGCTGTTTGCCGCAATTACATGACGCCTCTGGCACCGGCACGCAGACCGTGTGCCACTGCTGGCAGGTGGACACATGACGGAAAGCCAGAGCGCTGCTGCCAAAAGGCCAAAAAATATCAATAATTAGAGCAAGCGTTAGATTTATTCCCCCTCTCACCTCTGCCCAGCCAAGGAAACTACATTTAGTTTTGCCTAAATAAACAGCCTGAACTCGTTTCAGTTACCATGGGTAATCAATACAGGCGCTCAGGATCAGGCTGAGAGCTGCTGCCCGCCTCTCCTTCAAGAGCTGGCTGGCTGTCCAGGCTGGGAGGCGCAGCAGAAAACACAGGTTACATTCTCCTCCGCTGACGTTCTCGGGAGAATGCTTCCCCCGTGCAAGAGCAGAAAGCGCCTGCCTGCTGTAGCTGGGGAAAGCAGCGCCAGTTCACATGGGTTACTCGCGCCAGTTCAAGGCTTAATGGACCTGTGTCAATGAAACCCTTGTAATACCTGACTACCAGAAAGCATTTTTTTCTTTAATTTTTTAATTTTTTTTTAATTTTTTGATGGCCTGCGCTTTAGGTTAACGAGTCAGTGCAACGCAGAAAGGGACTTTTTGTCCTTGCTAAAACCAAGACAATCCAGACCAGAACGGATACGGCTGTTCTAGAGGTCGGAAATTCAGAATTTCAAATGTGGTTTTATCAAAACCCCCCATTAAACGGAACATCATAAAGTTAGATTGAAGAGACCGACAGATTAAATGTCAAGCTAGTCAATGCAATACGTTCAGGACAAATTTCATCAGCAGCAGAGCTGACGTCTGACAACCACTTAGTGGAAAAAAAGTTTTCATACTATTTAATGAAAAATTGTAAAACAATGTTGTGTTCTGCCATATACAAAATAAGCTGATATCAAAACAACCAGCAATTAAAAGAAGTCTTAGTTAGATGATTTGTTTTCCCCCCCTGGAAAATTACAGTCAATTACTGTAATTACATTGAGACCACCTTGCCTGCAGACAGGAGGGGCTCACGGCTGCCCAAAGATACCAGCTAAACCAGACCAATTCTGGGGAGACAGAGCACGTGCGAACACTTCCACCTGAAAAAGGTCAAAACCCAGAAACCAAGGAGAAATAGCCTCGTCGGCCATTCGAAAGGTGACAAAATGAGGCAGAGAAGAGCCCAAGGTTTATCTAGAACAAGTCCACTCTCAAGCAGCACCTCCGGTTATATTTCAAAAACCTTTTCCGTTCATAGTTTATTACTCACTTTAATGCAACTACATTTCAGTAAAGCCGTTCAACGTTGCACAACAGCTTCAAGTAAAATTTCTCTCCTGTATCTTCCCACTTCAGCTGCAGGACTATGCAACTGGCGTCTTGGCATTTTTACTCTCTGCTGACAGACAGATTGGGTGGGAGAAAAAAAAAACAACAACCCCACACAAAACCAAAAACACACAAACAAACTAAAAAAAAACCTGGTGCACTGATGATGCCTGGAGAGTCCCTGCAGCTCTTCACATTACACTGCTTCCCACCAGCGACTCCGTGTCGTGGCCAGCCTCCTCCCAAGACTTGTGCGGCAAGACTCCTGTTCAAGGGGAACATAAGCATTTTAGGCAGACATATGTTGCTTATTAGCTCGGATCACAGAAGGTGCTGGATGAGTAGCAATGCCTCCCTGATGAGGGAACACAGCGTTTCCACTATCCATAAGAGTTTTGCGAACCCAGCTGTCTCCCAGCCCCACCGTACGCTGTTTTTCCAGCTGCGTGCCATCGTTTTGGAAGGAGCGTGAAAACACAACTGCGGTACCATCTCGCATGAAATAGGATTTGGAGCCAAGAAGGCAGCCAGCTCTTCTAGCAAACCCTCTTGCCCAAATATTGACATTTTGATCAATATGGGCTTGGTGAACAATAAACCAAAGAGTTTGGCGGGGAGGGGGGAGCTGGGGAGGACACTGTGGTTCAAATCAGGCTTGTAAAGAAAACCAAACGCAAAGGAGCCATTAAAAGAAGACACACAAGTTGAGAGATACTGATCAGTTTTATTTTATAAATACAGATGAGCTTTCCCGCAATTACCAACATAGTTTTAATGTGTCATTTACTATGGGATATTCTGGTTTTGCTTATTTTAAATACCTGGTCAAGCAAGGATAAGCCAATGCTGTTGTGCTTGCTAGAAAAATAGAGTGGGATATGATCTTCCAAAACTAATATTCTCAAAAATCTAAGGAATTCCTAGTGAGGGGAAAAGATCGCAACGAAATGTTTTCTCCACTTGAAGACATTTGCAGACATTTAACAGTGTCACAGCTGTGCAGGAACTGAAAGGCTCTTGACAGTTTAAAGCACACTGTGATATATCATCTCACCTTCAAACCTACTATTTGTTTCTCTCCCACTACCAAAACTAATATTCTCAAAAATCTAAGGAATTCCTAGTGAGGGGAAAAGATCGCAACGAGCTGTTTTCTGTTTTTTCCGCTTTTTGCCGTTTTTTGACAGTGTCACAGCTGTGCAGGAACTGAAAGGCTCTTGACAGTTTAAAGCACACTGTGATATATCATCTCACCTTCAAACCTACTATTTGTTTCTCTCCCACTACGCTGTTTTCAAAGTAGTTTACGGGGGGGGAAAATAATCACAAAAGAGAAAGCCATGAGGTGGCTGCAGTCTGTACAATCCCCCATCCTCACAGCCACGAGAAGATTGCCAATGCTTTAATTAGCCCTGCGACGCTGTCCCCCTTCACACCACCTTCTATACAGAAAGCCATGAAAGTGGAAGAGAAACGCGGGGACAATTTAAGGCCTACTACAGATACATCCATAGAAAACCCGTCAAAGAAGCTTTGGGCGACAGACGCAGAAATCAACCATCGTGTTTGACACATTAATAATTACAGGGCTCAAACAGGAACAGCAACACAACATCAGGGAGGAAAACTAGACTTCATTTGGTCGGGTGCAACCTGAGAAAATGCGCTACTAATGAAAAAAAAAAGAAATCCAAAGTCCCGCTGATGCGCTACAAACCTAATTTCACGTTGCTTAATTGCACTGAGACGCTCCGTGTTTGCCTAGGAAACATAGCGACTTCACAACTACTCTTTGGGTTGCTTTGAAAAGTCACCACCACGCACGAGCTAATGCCTTCCCGTTACAGAGGAAAACGGGCGTGCCTACAAACAGGAGGTCCGTGCTGCTTTGAGCGTGCCAGGTCCCATCCCGCAGGGTGCACGACTGACCCAGCGTTACCGAATTTCACCTAAAATTGTACTGCTACCAGAAGATGGGAAGATATAGTCACAGGACAGAGTATCTTATGCCCACTTCAATAATAAGTGCTATGCTTTCAGGTGTTTGTTTCTGACTCTCAGGATGCCAAAACACAGTGAGAATTTCCTACCTATCTCTTCTCAAAGACGATGGCAGTGCTTTAAGCTGCTGCAGCGTTTCCTTCAGGGAAGCTTTTCATGAGGTTGGAACAGAGGAGCTTATTCGGGGGGGAGGATGCTCATGAATGTGTCCAACTTCAAGCCCAAGTTTGCACCTGGAACCACGTTCCATGCCTTACAGAATCGAGGTCTCTGCTTCCGAGTGCTTCCATCTAGCACATCGTACTGGGACAGACCAAAGATAATGAAATCACTGTAGAAAGGCTCGATCCAACAACTCAATTGCAGACACAACCGTTAAAAGCTAACAGAAGAAATGTGAATATAGTTTTAATACAATCATTAAGGTGTTACCTGGAAAAATGCATATTCTAGAACAGTGCTATTATGTATATTGGTTCTCACGTACATGTCTCGTTTTGACAACAGATAGTTGAGATTATACATATCCACATTTTAAAAAGTTAATTTAGGCTAGCCTTATGGTGAAGTTAGGAAAAAGACTAGGTCATTGGTTCAAAAGAAAGCATAGACCAGGGAGGAAAAAAAAGCCAGGCATGATGAAGTGTTTTTATTCTGCTATATATTTTTATATTTGAGAGCTCACAACCGAGCCCAAATTCTTGGGTATACAATATAGAAAGCAAGAGCAATGAAACCCAAACTGAAACAAATACCAGGAATCACAAAGCAGGCTGCAAATTGCTTTCCCGTTAGTGCAGCTGAACACACGTGCCAGTGGTGACCTACCTAACAGCAAACCACACCTCCAGCGAACCGCTGAAGTTTCTTCGTTTGAAGTACAGACGGTTAAAAGGATATTAATTTAGATGAACAGCGTTAGGTGCCTCCTTTCTACAGAGGGTGGAGCGACTCCACAAATTCGCCTAATTCCAAAGTGCTGACTGCTTTTTCAGTCTGGGTTTTTATGAAGACGTCTGCGAAGTGCCTCGCGGCACGCTGTCCCCGTTAGACACCTCCTCGGAGGGTGGCAGCTGAGCCCCACTTAGGTAGTGCACTCGTTAGGTCTCTACTGATGAGGTCTGTGCCCAGCTGAAGCGGGGAATGGTCAGGCTGAGGTTTTTGTAAGAAACCTTAGAGGGGATTTAGTCCTCAAGGCTTCTACTGGTAGGAACAGTGAATACAGAGGAAAGGGGGGGGGGGGGGGGAATGTCATTTCTGATTAATCAGGTGCAAGGAAACTGCAGATATCACACAGGTGCTCATTCTCTGGCAAGTTTACACCACCAACTGAAGACCCATCAGTGCAAACCAGAACTTCAAAGGCTACAGAGCACAGCCAAGAGAAAGCTGTCCAATTATAACAAATTCATGGTATTTCTGTAACACTGACTACATTGCTCAAGAAAACACAGGAGTACATGGGAAAAGGTAAAGAGGTCTTACCATAAATGTATTTTTAAATTAACTTTTTTTTTCTTCTGAAGAGATTAAAATAAATTTAACTCTAAGTATTAATTAAGAACTTAACAAATAGTCACAGAAGGGCCTGATCAACACTAGAAGTTGTTTCCAGGAAAGTCTTTTATAAATGGATTCCAATGCCTAAAAAAAAAAAAACATTCCAACAGATTATAAATACCAGACATAAGATGACTGGAAGCAGAATCAAAATTTACCTGGGCTGTGAATATACAATGGTCCTGTGTTATCGTGCTTAAGTCCGTTTGTCTAACACCATTGGAATAGCTTTAGCTTTTTTATTTTTTTTTTATAATTAATATAAAGAATAAGTGTAATTTTATCTCTATTCCAGATCACTGATTTCACCTCAATGTCTGCTATCAAATCCCTGTCCAAGCTCACTTGTCCGAGCTTTTACGCGGTCTGCGGAAGCTGGACATGTTTTCATTCAGTGCATAGATCCTTCGAGAGAACTCCTCAAACTCCCCTAGGACTTGTTCATCACACTCCACCGCCACGGCGTGCTCCACCGGGATGGAGTTAAAGTCTTCTAGCTGATCTCCCGCGCCGAACCCCGTTGCTTCCATCCCCATGATCTCCTCCGCTTGCTCTACGGTGCAGCAAAGGACAGGGCCGAGGGAGGGACGAAACTCACAGGGCTGCTCGTTGCTTGCAGTGCCAGAGCACTCACCAGGCAGAAACGCCCCATTTATTGCACTAGTATGTCCTAGGAAAGACTCCTGCTGGTCTTGGGGATTGTTTAGGCTCCCGTTTTCTCCATTTAAACTGCCGCACAAGTCCTCGCCTTTCTTGGTATTTCCTTTCGAGGAGTCCATAGAGGTATCCAAGGAGGAAGATATCGATCCGGGTTTTTTATCTAACTCTCCTACGGGGGCTGTGATGGCAACAGGCTGTGTTAAAGCAGAGTTGTAACTAGGAGGAGGAGTTTTGTACTGTAGTCTTTCGTTTCCCGTGCTGGCTCGTTTTCGGAGTCCTTTATCTGGAGAAGGAAGCCCACTGGAAAAGCCAATATCCAATCTGCCGAAGCTTGAGCTCTGTCTCTTTGGAACGGGAATTGCACTGGATGTATGGTGTCGATCACTATAAAAGAAGGAAAGGAAAAATCACAGCTGCCAGGCATGCTCACGAGCAATACAGATGTTTAACCGAAGGCTGAAGCAATTATTTTATCACAACTCCGGGCTCCGTTTGGCCGACTACTTGTATCCTAAAGTGCTAAAACCCCAAATGTGTTTAATGCTGTATGAACTACAGAAGACACCCCAGAGGACAGCTTTACTGAAAACCGGTAAGATCGTGCAGGAACATTTACAAAGCTCCATGGTTTGAAGAGTCAATCACCCAAGAAACCACCACATTATGTTAATTCGTACTGTTAACACCATTTTATAGGACCAAGCTGTACTTTATGAATTATTACTGTTGACCGTATATTTATGTATTTATGGCCTGTACTGGGCCATCATAAACTCTTCAAAAGTGAGTAATAATGGCCGAATCCTCTAAAGGCGACTTCTTCCAACAGTGGCCTTTCCTGACAGCTGCACAAAGGAGAAAAAACACACTAACTTTGCTATTTGCAGAGGACTCTCTTTGCCAGATCTTCTGCTTTTGTGCCCATCGTTCCAAAACTTTTTGGGCAAACGTCAACCTTGGTTTCTTGAGGAACATGAACTGATCAAGCTTAATTTATGAGTTTGATTTTACTATCTAATAGAGTTCCACAGACCACTTACACTGTCTCAGGGTCTATAATTTGGAACATCCGCTTTGCGTCATCTGGGGTGTTACGTGAATTTTCCTTCATCGGCTTAATCCCTACCCAAATATAATCACCATCCTATATGCAAATAGTATGTTGTACATTAACTTATGCAACCGGTTCATTTTCCTTCCAAATTTAAAAAAAAAAAAATACAGCTATTACTGATCTGCTGAATATATAACTCCAAGATTCAACTGCTGTCAGTATGAGTCTCCTTCATTAACTCAATTTAAAAGAAACTCCTTCTACTCAAGGCCTGATACATTGTGGGATCTGTCTTGCAGGGGAAAAACTTGGAATAGCAGTTATGAGTAGTCCCTAGCGTGGATCCTTTTCCACGTTATTTTTCTTTTTTTTTTGCTCCCCTTGGTAAATAGGATAAGCTAGATTGCAAAAAGTCCCTCTGTGAAAAATAAGCATCCCCACGGGAGGGCAGTGCGGAGTACTACTGCTCTTTAATTTCCTCTCCCGTCTTACCTCCTCCCAGGCTGCCCCTTAATACATGTGTAGGGCTTCCTACTCTTCCATAAAAACCTCAAGTTACCTTAAGGAAAAGTTGCTTTTCAGAATTTACAGTTGCAGACAGTGAAGCAGAGAGATAAGCTCCACACATGCAGCTAGCAGCAAAAACATCAACTTTCTTCTTCGATTTCAACTGCTGTTTCAGACCTTTTTAAGGCAAACTCTGCATAGCATTCGCAGCTTTGTTTGGAGCATTCTTAATGGAGGTGGTAAAACAGAAAGCAGTATGTGCCACAGATGCTAATAAGCGCTGTATATGTGGTCTTGGAGACTAGCCCTCAGTCCCTTACTGACCAGAGACTTTAAAAGACTTTAACCAACCCCTACACAATCGACCATTCATTTTTAAAATGATGTAATACGGCAAACACAAGAATCCGAGGCAGGACACTCGTGAACTTTACTTAGGGAACGTGCACTGCAGACATATTGGGGATGGTCTGTTTTCCCCTTCCCCCAGCTTAGTGCTTTCAGCTTCAATTCAGAAAATAAATGAATACTCGGTATTATTTATTTGACTAGATTCTGTCTATCTTAAATCTTAGATAAGAAACTTTTTCATATTACCTCTAGGTTTGCTGAATCTTCCGTAAGAAAAAGCACAGGAAATAAAATAGAGTGCTATGTTTTCAGCTTCAACAGCAAAACAAGGTATTTTGCTCTGTATCGAGTTATCAGAAACTTTACAATTAAATGGTAAGTTTCAGGAGTTTACCCAAATTCCAAGACGCACATATATTCACAAAGCCAGAAAACGCCCAAGACACTTCTCTGGGTCCAAGGGCGCATCATCCTATGTTTATGTGAACTAATTCCTCACAGACAAGTGATAACTGATTACTACAGATCACTGTTCAACTTACAAGACACTGTGCAATTAAGTAGATGGTGCTTTTCAGTGCAAGATATCTAAGGTTTTGCTGCCTTTCCCATTCCAGATATAGAGATGTTGCAGAGCTGAATTATCTCCCTTCTACTTGGATGAGATCGCATGCAACATGGTGATTTGCTTGCCTTACCAAAGAGATATGGCAAGATGCACGTCCCAAGGCCAAGCAGCGGCTGTGTGTTGTGGAACTGGGCAGGAAAGGCCTCATTCCTCCCCTCTTCCTTACAAAACTGAGCCCAAAGCACAGGCTAGGACCAGTCTTGCTGCTAAGAGGAGCCTAAGTCTGCCATAAGTCTCGAGGAGTACAAGGGGGAGCCTCCAGGCAGGAGAACTATGAGCTCGGTGCTACAAGAGTTTGGATATGTGCACTGTGCTGATCCATCACCTCGTGGCTCTAAAGGCAGGAGGCTCAAGAAGAAAGAGATAGGCAGAGAAGAGAGACGGGTTCTGTGCTCAGTCTAGTATTTTAGGTTGGAAGAAAACACACCCTGTTGCTGAAGTTTGCTTTATTCTGTTTGTACTGTATTGTCAATTCAAGATCCAAAGGGCAACACACTTGCTTTTGGCAGCTGTGGAATGAGCTGTATAAGATGTGTTCTTAAGTCTGGACCTATTTGACAAATCAGTTGTCTAATACCATTTAAAATAGTGAGCATGTATGGATTTCAAAAAGAAGATGGGGTGTATGAGAACACCATTCTCATACAAGCTCCTTTTCGAACTCAAAGGCCACTTATTGCCGTCCCCTTCCAAAAGAAAAGGGCTATTCCCAGAACGGATCCCAGTATTACATCCCCCGCAACAATAAAGATAAAGATCATTCTTCTTGGTTTCTATCAAGACATCAGGGATGAGTCAAACAGGAATGTACTCCTGCTGAACTGGAACCCAGGAGGGCTGCAGACTCCAGAGAAAGAGCCCCACACATTTGAAATAGAAAGCAAGACTAGGAACAGATAGAATAATGCAAGATGCACAGACAAAAAAGGGTAACTTTTTTCTCCCCACGTACAACAGATGGCAGATGCACAGACGCAGCACGTTAGCTGTTCTGTAGAGTATCCTTTGCAGAGGGAAGAGTTTGACACCAAAGCATCAGATCTGCGACACCCAGTATAGCAGTGAGGGCTTCCTATCTCCTGATCTAGGCACAATAGGAAATTCTGCCATTTCTCTGGATTTTATTCAGCCACCCACAGCCCTGGGACAGGCATTTAAGAGATTAAAATCTAATCCAGGAAAAATTTCAAGCTGTACCTTGTGGATCTAAGTCCAGATGAGCGTTTCTCAAAACAATCACAAGGATATCTACTCTTTACACAATATTTTAGTGATAAAAGCTCTTGCCTGAAATGTAAGCAGTCAGAAGAGGGTCCAGACAAGTTACAAACACAGTGGCCTGAACACCAGCTACAGACAGGTTTGGAGTGGGTCCGCCTGTTGAACATATCACCTTGCAGCACAAGAGGCAAGATCTCACAAGAGTAACAGCTATCTCAGATGAGGGGGATGCGTAGGGAAAGAAGAGTAGAAAGCAATCCCAGGTTTAATCCTAGCTCCTGAAGCTGCAGAGGCACACCACTGTGCAAAATGCAAGTAATTCTTGGAGAGATCAAACCCAAGGCAAAACCTTTTCACCATCTGAATGAGTAATACCCGCTACTGTTACTTCTTGTGCTGGACTGTGCTTCAAACTTGCTCAAATTCATTTCTCTTAGATCAGACTCTTTAGAGGGCAAAGACTTAAGTATGGCATAAGACTGCCTAATTGGCAAACCCCAAATTACCTTCAGCAAGTACTGAGCAGCCCAATTTAGGCACAACAGCAACTTTTCTATGCAGCAGAAAAGAGAAGCAGCAGCAGCAGAAATTTAAGTGTCTGAGTAAACCAACATGAAAACTGTGGTGTCTAATCAGCTCGAGAGAAGCAGCTTTGCAAGCTGTTCCAGTGGGCATGTAAGTTTAAGTTCCTCCTAAAAAGAAACATGCCTAAATTCCTTTGTAAATCTAGGCCTTACAGGCAAACAAGTGAGAAATTAATTAGTTTGCAGGACCAGGAGAATTTTTAAAGAGCTTGTTATGACAAGGCTATTCAAGCTAACACGTTATGTATGCCTGAACAACACCTCTTTAGTCCAGCAGCCAAAAAACCTCTTCCCTTCCTTAGTAAGTTGAACTGGCAGAGTGATCTATACTAAGTGATCTAACAGCCTAAACGTAGCAGCAATACAAAGCTAATCTCCCTCATCTACAAAATAACTTCCCAGTCAACAGAGTACCTAAGGGCTGCCCCATAGGGCAGTAAAGCAGGACTGATCTTCATTTATCATACAAGCATTCAAACTAATGAATTAGAACAAAAAGCACATGCAGCCAGGTTCCTTAAACTACATGCAATGAAATGGACCTTGCCTAAGACTGCAAAACCAGGTTTTAAGCTGCTGGAGACATATGTGGGCAGATTTCTGAAACCGCCCATTGCTGCCAATAAATATGAATAGGATGGTGTGCCGGTTTTGGCTGGGGTAGAGAGAATTTTCTTCACAGTAGCTGGTATGGGGCTGTGCTTCGGATTTGTGCTGGAAACAGTGTCGATAATTCAGGGATGTTTTAGCTATTGCTGAGCAGTGCTGACACAGAGTCAAGGCCTTCTCTGCTCCTCACCCCACCCCACCCCACCCGCGCCGCTGCTCGGGGCCTGGCTGGGCATCGGTCGGCGGGTGGTGAGCAATTGCATCGTGCATTGCTTGCTTTGTATATTCTTTTATTTTTATTATTATTACTATTTTGTTTTAATTCAATTATTAAACTGTTTTTATCTCAACCCACGAGTTTTCTCAGTTTTACTCTTTCGATTCTCTTCCCCATCCCACCGGGAGGAGTGAGAAAGCTGGGGGAAGAAGG